CTAAATCCCTCAAAAACCTTGCCAACTTTCAGCACCTGTAAGTGGCATGCTTCCAACGCGTGCCATGCTGCGCGAAGAAAGCCACCATCGCAAGCGGCTGAAGCCGCGGAACGGTCGGGCATATCTGGAGCACCACGGCTCGGCTTTCAGCTGGTGTTTGTTTCGACCTTTCACCAACAAAGGTGCCCGACCTCGCCTGCGCTGTTGAAATGCACTGGGCTGGCCGGCTGGGGTTACACGCCGTCCGGGGCCGGCTCGGTGGCGGCGCGTCCGCGCAGTGTTTCGCCGCGCCGCGCCACTGGCGGTTTCTCACGGTGCCATCGCCGGCTGGGGACGATCCGGCGCTCCTGTCCAATCCACGATAACCACATTCCGCGCCGGCTCGTGAATGTATTACCAACCTGCCGAGCGATAGTCCACCAGCAAATCGAGCGCAAGAAACATCCCGAAAAACGGCGGCGCGTTGAGGCGCGCAGCCCGCGTGCAACAGCGGTCGGCCGCCGGTCGGGGACATAGCCCGGATGGCTGCGGCGGCGGCGGGTCGGCCGCTGGCAGTCCCGGGGCCCGGCGGCCGCCGACGCGTCCACACACACACATTTGGACGCCCGGCAGACACATGCAGACCTACACGCAACCGGTCGCTGGCCGGTCGCACAAAAAGTTGCCACTCGTTAGCCGCCGGCCGGCCCCACTGGACATTCTGTAAATTTGGAATGGGGTCGTGTCGGCCGTTTTTGTCCGAGATATAGATGGCGGTTTTTGCCAGCCGGTCGAGACGAGTGGAGATTCGGGTAGGCACGCCGGGCCCGCGGCGTCCGGGCCCCACAGCGCGCCTCGACGGTCGCCGCCGCTGTCGGCGACGTGCGGCCGACAGTCGGCATGCTACGCCGGCAGTGCTGCCGACACTGATCGTGATTGTGCTGCCGACACTGATCGCGATTGTTTTGAACCGTCTCACTTGACTGGACAGAGCGAGTGCGTGACCAAGCCGAACGCAGTTAACTAGGTTCCAAAGTTTTGTATTCTTATTTTGGTAAGACGGGCAAGAAACTGTCCTTTGAAAGTAATTTTCAACAGCAGCAGATCTAAAAAAAATCCAATTTGAGAACTGTTGCTTTTCCTTCATTGTAACACTATGAACCAAAAGGTGGTAATAGTTCAAAGTATCAGAATGAGGGTGGCAGGCATTTAGAAAAGTCGATGTCTAAAAGTTGTCCGAGCGGGGATCATCTAAAGGATAAATGCTAGAAATGGGCTTGCTTTAAAGGAGGTATGCGTGGCTGCTACCACCCCTGCCACACCATGCTACCCAGACATAGCCACTTGAATTGAACAATGCACTCACCTTCCATAAGACCTATCCTAAGGCCCAAGCTTTGCACGATAATCATGGATGAAACGAAAGATGCTGTTTGAATCAGGAGATTACGTCACAACCAGAGGCGTCACCTGGCGTGCATTTTGGGGCCCATGTTACCAAGTCATCTCAGGTTTTGACATCCGGCCCTTGGCGGCACAAGGAAAAGATGGCCTAAGATCCTCTCAAATTACTTAAGGCCTGATAAAACCTAAGGCCCAACTGGAATAAGACTCTCTCAGTTGGACATGATTGATACAGCCTTTAACGATTTTTCCAAATGACCTCCTCGATCCCCTTTTTCACCTCACCTCATTTATTTTCATCACCTCATTTTGCGGCACGTCCACTTTTGTTAAATGCGTTTTGAAGTATGCGATGCATCTTCATTCATTCAACATGTTGTTTTTTACTTTTATCTTTCCACTGTAGTAGTTATGCGGTTACAGTCATAAGCATGGACCCCATGAGAGGGGCGTACGCGGTGGTAGTGCCTTCATCATCATGGCAATGTCTTCGTCCAGACGTTACAACCGAAGGAAATAGTGAGCCGGATCCTTCGAAGTCGTGGCGGGCGTGCTGATCCGGCGGTGTAGCGCCGCGGAGGGCGGCGAGGCCCAGACTCGGAGGTGCTGGAGACGCCGCTCCTCCCGGGGTACACGCTGTGCTGGAGACGCCGCTCCTCACGGGATACACGCTGTACTGGAGACGCCGCTCCTTACGGGGTACACGCTGTGCTGGAGACACCGCTCCTTACGGGGTACACGCTGTGCTGGAGACGGCGCTCCTTACGGGGTACACGCTGTGCTGGAGACGCCGCTCCTTACGGGGTACACGCTGTGCTGGAGACACCGCTCCTTACGGGGTACACGCTGTGCTGGGGACACCGCTCCTCACGGGATACACGCTGTGCTGGGGACACCGCTCCTCACGGGATACACGCTGTGCTGGGGACACCGCTCCTCACGGGACACACGCTGTGCTGGGGACACCGCTCCTCCCGGGATACACGCTGTGCTGGGGACACCGCTCCTCACGGGACACACGCTGTGCTGGGGACACCGCTCCTCCCGGGATACACGCTGTGCTGGGGACACCGCTCCTCCCGGGATACACGCTGTGCTGGGGATACCGCTCCTTACG